ATGGTGTGTTTGGAATGTTTCAAAATGGAAGAAAGCGGTTTTTTTAGTCAGAGAGCCCCCTTCGTTTTTAAAAATGAAACTTCTTCTATTCAGCGATTCCAGAACTCAGGCGTCGCCGTTTTCATTTCCTCCCTTGCCTGCAATTTTACCACCCAACAACACTCCCCCTTGCAATTTCACTGAAAGAACAACCTACAGGTTGTTCTACTGAACACCTCTTTACTAATTGTACTATCAGGTTTGAAAAGAGGAAGGAGCTAGAAATGCAGAATCCAACTTCTTCATGTGAGAATATATACAAATGCAACCATATGCCTTAAAGATTAATTTCACGAGCCTTAAATTGCAGTTTAATTTAAAAACTAATTCAGCCTCATAATTGGCTTTCTGTTCAAATCACTGAGGCTAAAGATTTAAATTCTTAATATTCAGATGACTTTCAAGTTTCTGGCCCCATCTGTGCATTAGTCCATGGTGTTAATCTCCAAGGGAATCTCTGCTGGCATAGAAATAAAATAAACAAACTGGGACACTAATAGAATAATCGGCTTTTAAAATCCCTGGTATTATATATACTGCTTATTTTTATGAGATTTCTTTAACTCCATTTGCCACATATAGATTTGGCTCCCAGCTATTTCATTTTTTAAGCGGCATCACTACCAACAGTTATTCTATTAGAGTTCCATGGAACCAGGAGGAGATAGAGAAATTTTAAATTACAACATTTTTCATATAAGAAATACTAATCTTCCTTTATTTTGGAGTATTGGCCATACTTAGAACTCTTTCACACCACTTACTGGGAGGGTGGCAGGAAGAAACCATCCTGCCTACATACTACTGTGAGAAAAAAAAAGAGGTGGCTGAAATCTTAGCTTAAAAGAAAACACTTGGAATTTTGCTATTGACTTGAAAAGGACCAAGATGTATCCAGAGAGTCAGTGAAGTGGAAAGGATGAATGGGAATGGAAAAGGCCAGTCTGACAGGAACAAATTGTTTTGGAGAGATGTGTTAATTTTTGACAATCTTTCTCTTAAAACAAAATAGATACAACCCAGAGCAAAGCACTCTCGTCCTTGCAGAGCGTTTCACATTGACCTTTTCAGAACTGAACGTGTGTGTCACTTAAGTGAGACATCCACAGTCTAATGTAAGGTAAATGTTGTGTTGGTTTTACCGAGACCAAACTTCCGAAGTGACCAAGTAATTTTATCCCATACGATTTTGTTTAGTGATTAAATCCATTTTTTCTTTTCTTACATTTAAGCATTTTCATTCTATCTTACAGAGCATTATTTTTGGAAATTACAGAATTTCTATTGAAACAGCACTCCCCCTCCTCTCCCCAAGGAGACACCTGGGATGCTGCAAGCGCAACTGTACAACTGCACTGGCTAGGTCCAGGACAGGCAGTAACTGGTGTTGCACAGAGGAGGAAAAAGAAAAGAGAACACCCAAAACCCAAGCTCCTTTCTGCCATCAGCCGGTACAGCTTGTACGGCGCGGCTCCTAGACGCAGGCTTTGAAAGGACAGCACAATTCTTGCAGCGTACACAGCGTTCGGCAAGGAAGCTGTGCAATCCATACCGCTTTATCAGCTCTTGAAAGGAAAGTTCTGCAGCTAAGAAGGAACTTTGCTGATTAAGGCTGCCGGAGGGACCAGGGGAATTTCAGCTCTAGCTTGCAGCTGCATTTTTAAAACTAGCTGTGTTCTTCATATAGAGGCAAAGTTCAAAGAAGCAGAACATTATTCAGTGTGAGTAAAACATGGCCTTTTAAGATACACTTTCAAACAGTGGCACATTAAATCAAAACAACTTGTTCGGGGGGAGGGAGAGAGAAAGGAAGAAAGATGGTCCTGTGGAAGAGAAAATCCTACACCACTGTTCATGCTCTGCATTTTGGAAGGGCCTGCAGTTAAACATCTGAACTGTCCAGTGGCATAACCTTAGGCCAGATACACTAGAAATAAATCAAAACATTTTCCAGAGAGTACCCGAAAAGGAAAAAAGCAATGCAATTCAATTTAACAGCTAGTACACATTTAAAGATGCACATCAGCCAGGCTGTGACATACATGTTCACATTAAGAACTTCGGCTCACAAGGATGAGCCCATGATTTCAAGAACACTATACTCAGGTGCAAGATGCTATTTCAATTAAGTTATTATAATCTTAACTAGCAACAACAGCCCATTATAATAATAATACTTGATGCTTGCTTTTCTATTTCTATCAAGGTTTGGTTTCAAGGTGACCTGCACGCCGCAGAGAGCACTCCTCGCAAGCCCAGGCATTCTGAGCGCTCTGCGGGCTGCTTCTCTTAAATGTGTATCAGACTGTCTCTAGCAATTCTCTTTACCCTGTGCCAGTTCTTTCAGCTCTTGGAAAATCCCCATCGAAGGCTATTTGTATTTTAGGCTAAGGTAAGCTTCTTTCTTCCTTGGGAGGCTAAGTGCCCAGCAGTGCCTCTCACCTCACCCCAGCCCCGGAGTACACGACCCTTCCTGCGTTCCCATTTTCTTGGTTCACAGCACGTCCTTTTGGCTTATTCATTCTGGAGTCTGTAGGTCACATCTCGCTTGGCCACCTTGCCACTGCGTTGCCTGCAACAGCCAGGCACCGCTGGCGCAGTGCCGCCGAGCCCTTTCTTGTTCCCTTTCAATGTGATCTGCTCTATTGATCCTGTTAATCAGCCTTAGATGGGCATCTCAAGGTCACTGTGCTCTGCTCAGTCTGTGCTCAACAGAGTATTTTTGATGGTCTTGCTCTGGGAAATTTCCATGGGTAGAGCTTGAGCTCCTTATGTTCCCCCCCCTCCTCCTCTTTTTTAATCTGGGCAGAATTCCTACTGCCTTCAAACGGACATTGGCTGCCCTCAGAGTTAGCATTTATTTGGGATACTCTCATACTTCAGTTACTTTCCTCAAAGGAAGCATACAAAATTATTAAGAGCATCACAGATACCGTGGTAATTATGAAATACTGCCTATTTAATCACAGCCATTCTAAATGGGCATATGGAAGATGTGAGAAATAACAATCATACGGGATATCCAGGGAAGAATTTTCAGTCTTCAGGCATAGTTCAAAAGCAACGAATACTAAAAAATGAATGCTGAACTCCTGTATCATATAATAAGATTTTATAGTTTGCTTGAAGCTAATCTGTACTTTATACACAGGTATACACACATATGCATATACCTTTATAAACGCATATACATATGTAACTTACTGTTGAATCAATATTGAGCACCTTTTTTCTATCTGTTACCTCTGTAAGAATATATCATATCTTTCATTTGTCGATCATTGGCACAAATAATTCTGAATTCTGGCTGCCTATTTTTTCTCTTGCAAAGACTGGTGCAGTACCTCCTTAATATTATAATACCTCCTCAGTATCATAATATTCTGAAGTGGCTTGGACTATAAAGGAAGTTTCCAAACCTCTACAAGATCTACGCTTAGCTAAATACATTGTCTGGACTTGTCTCAACATAAAACAGGGACACGTTACTTGGAGGCAAATGAGGAGCACACAGGCATACACAGTAACTATATGACCTTTTTATCTTTTTCTCAAAGACGTAACACCGTGATTATTGCCACGTACATAGAATGAGGGCCTCGGATACCCGCGTTTGCAGGAGGTTCTGCAAAAGCAAGGAATAGAAATTCAATATTAATATAAGCCTTTAAAAGAATACCGATTAAACAGGAAAGGGAGAAAAAACAAATACATCAAAGACAAATGTAATTGCTTTTGAATAAAAACAGATTGGTTTCTACCTACCTGCCTTAAAGGCAAGCACTCCAGTCTGGGACACAGAATACCAAAAACCAACGAGTAGAAGCAGAAGCACAAGTATTTTGTAGGCGAAGGTATCCTATTCTAATTTAAAAGCTCAAAGGCTTATCTGGATTTCAAACAAGAAGAGGATGCAATTTACTGCTTCTATCACACAAATGAGCAGAGCTAGTTAAAACATTTGGGAATACTTTGAATACTGATTTATACTAGAATAAGATGTAAGAAGTTTGATTTGCTATGGAAATGCTGCATTAACCTTCAAACCCTGACGTGCCCCAAAGTGGCCCTCAAATGAAAGACAGAAAATTCCTGTTGGAAGATGTCATTAGAAGGATCGGTTCAGGGACTTCCTGTGTCGCCTCTGCAGACCAGGACCTGGATCAGCACTCTGAAGCCTGGCACGTTGCTACGCGAAGCATATCCAGAAGGAAGCTGTACCTATTCTTTCCTCAAGAATAATGTGATGCTGTGTCCCCAGTATATGTCCCCACAGCAGCCCATTCCTCACAATGCCAAAAGACAATCAATCATGACTGCGATTCACTTTGTTAAAAACAGGGGCCACTGGAGACTTTTCTATGACACCTCAGGCAGCAGGGAAGCCATGATAAATGTTTGCTGACACAAAACAAAAATCACACAGTGTTTTTAACCCTTCAGCTGGCAAACAACTGGAGACAAATTTATCTAGGAAAAATCTCACTCAACTTTCACAATATAATTTAAATAATGAATACATTTGTATTAGTTATGTTCAGCAATAAGCTAAAACAACCTCCTTAGCATATTGGAAATGGCATAGTTATGCTGCACTCAAATAACAAATCAACAATACAGTTGAAAAGAAAACATTAAAAGCCCCAGCAACATGATAATGTAAAAATTATCACTTGAATTCTGTGTACAACTTGCACTCTCACTGATTTTTCGCCCATAAATTACATGCCAAGGAAGGGATTACAAAAATCTTGGTTTCTTGCAACACAAGTTTGCACTTTCTCTACTTCCAGAGAAAGAGATTTCAGCTGAATTGCGGTAATTTCCATCAGTCTTAAACCAAAGAGCCAGAAACAGAAAACCAGTCCTACAATCCCTGTATTTCAGAAGAGGTCAAAGCTACTGGGTCACATTAATGTTTGAAAGCTTACGATAGCTCCACGAATTTTTTTCAGACGTACCTGGTTTAGAGCCTTCATCAACAGATCCATTATAGACCTGGTTTACAAACTCTGGCCTGTTGTCATTCATATCAATCACATAGATGTAAAGGTCAATAGGATTCTCCACCTTGTTCCCATTCATATCCACGGCATGAGCTCGGAGCTGGGAATAAGCACAAGGGAAACATTCATGTCAGCAACTGGATTTGAACTGACTTCATCGCATACTTTCCCAAAATTGAGCTGAGAATATCTGAATTCCAGCAGAAAGCAGTGATGTGGTTTCCATCTAGACTCTACACATACACAGTTTTTCAAGGCATAACAGGATGACGAAATAATATTTTAAAATAACAATTGCCAGTGGAAACACCGTACTTCTGGGTTAGTGGTCCCATCTCCTTCACTGCTAAACAGATCACTATGGTTTAATTTTTAAGACATGGTGGATCCTGTCTGACAATCTTTGAAGAGTAAATTTTGCTTCTTTCTAAAGACAGTGAGGAGGTGATGTTTCTGATGGGATCCCACTGCCTTTCATATCTACAATTACAGTGATTTCTAAGCAAGGAGATTTCAGAATAGCATTAGTATTGTTTATTCTTTGTTTAACCATGGTCTCTAGGGACAACAGTTACAGCCACCCCTGGTCTATGCACTGAATGACATAAAAACAGTCCCGTTCCTGCAAATGATGGGAGCCTCTGTTGCATCAAGAAAGAAAAATCTTTTCAGGCTAAACAAAATATCAGTGATGAAGCATTACAATAACCAGAGCCACAGCGCTTGGTCCTCATTTAAAGTGGGACTGTGGCTTTATTGTATTAGCAATAACCATCAGTAATAACGCTGGAAAACATAAGCATCTGTTTTCTGAACAAAAGGGACAGATACAGCATGTCAAAATGAGTAATTAATAAAACATAGCAATCAACAATAGTCTGGAACAATCAGTAACCAGGTGAAACAAATGGATAGCTTTTTCATTAAAAGGAACAGATGGCTACTCTAAACGGTGTGCGCTGGGTGGATCTGTTGATGTTGGCTTCAGGAAAAAAAAAAGACAAGCTCGGCAAGAGCTGCGCAGAGCCTGACTCTGGCTGGCCAGAGGAGAGACATCCGGCTTCGTGCGCGCTCCAGTTTTCACTTATCACCCTTCTCGTTTCAGCGCCGGTGAGCACTGCCGAACCTCCACCCCGCCGGCACTCGACACCGCCGCGTCCTGTCCTGTAAGGCTGGTGGCTGAGCCCGGAGGCGTAGGTGGCACGAGCCTGGCGACACGCAAGAGGGACACTGTCCCTTGGGTGGTGGGCAGAGCTGGGGATGGACCTACCAACCGCCCCGCGGTGATTTCTGCGCGCGGCACACGCTCTGCGAACGTGCTGACACACGGCAGCTCGTGTCCGCAGGGGTGCGGAGGACACCCCTCCCAGCGCCGCCCGGGCAAGTCGGGATGCTCCACGCTGCCAGGGAGGTCTGCAGCTCTTTTGATGCATGACAAATAAATGTGCTAATTGTATTAGCGCTGGTTTCAGTCTTTTGCTTCTGCAGTGCCCGTGATTGATGCAACTTTCTCCTTCATGTAGGTGTTCAGAAGTCCAGAGCTTATAAAAAGCAACTGCACTCTATTATGACAGGCGGGATTAACATTTAATCAAGCAAAGAGCACAAACTGCCAGGTGAAATAAGCTGGCAGCAAAACATTTTTTAAAGGAAGTTAAAAAATACTTTTTCTTTAACGACTGAAGAAGTCTGGCTTCATTTTCAACACGGGATATATCATTTGTACCTCAGGATTTGCAATGCTCTTAATATCTGCATTGCTTGCCTGCATATATACTGCTTTGACTCCCTCCTGTTGAGTTATCCTTCATCATGTCAGATGTGGCCATTCAATAACTTTACGAGTCAAAGGTCTGACTGCCTTTGAAAAAGAAGAATTTGGAGCTAAAATTAAAGTTATTATCTTCAAACTGCGGCAGCACTGGGCTCCTCCTTGCCACATTTGCAGGAGCGGAAATGGTGCCATTCACAGATAAAGCAGAGAGCAAAGCTGATATCTTTCCTTTCAGATCTGACTCTCCCCCTGCAAAGTTTTAATTACATTTGATAGCTTTTGTTTGAAAGCTCCAGGAATAAGGAATTTCTCAGCACTGCATTTCTGTCTGCTTGCTGCACTCACCAAGTACAGGTACACGTGAACAGGTTGCTGCCTGCGCTCAAGGGAAAAAATATTCAGTGTAGGAATCTCATGAAATCTGCAGCAATGCGTACGAGCGAGGCCCTCTGCCCTAAGTCCGAGAGCAGCATCAGCACCTAGGCTGAGTTATGAACAGGAGGCTGGTGTCTGGGAGTTCGGGTGCTGGAGCTGGAGCCCGGATAAACAGCATTCCAGCAGCAGGAGCTGGCAGATCCATCACACGGCCCAGCCCTGCCCAGCAGACCCAATGTCTTTATTTCCCAGATCCTGCTGGTCTCCTCTCCTGTGACCACTTGTTACCGCCTTCCTTTCCATGCACTCTCCTTCTCACTCCTGCATTTTTGCCTGACTTCAATGGACTTCTCTTCTTCTTTCTCCTGAACTTGCTTGCATGTATTTTCTCTACATATATTTTAATAATTTTCATGAGATAACACTTCCATACCCTTCCACAACATGTTGCTCACCTATGGTCAGAGGCATCCACAGTAGATGGAAAAGAGAGGCTTGAGCCAGAAGGCTGAACCTACAGTGAGGCTCACCATGTGCTTTCCTCGTTGGAGACTGGTCCCAGAGGAGAGCACAGAAGGCAGATGGACTCTACGGGGCAACCTGTACAACTGGGAAACACCAGGCGTACCTCCAGAGTAGATTAGACACTACACTTCTGTCCCATTCTTAATTCATCTCCCTGCCCTGTCCTCCAGTCCTACTCTTTGTACTGACCAGGCATCCTCACCCTGGACAACACGCTTTCTTTTGAAATTTTCTTCAGTTGCTGAGGTGTGCGTGGATATGGCTGATCCGTTTGGCACAGTCTGAACCTAATGTGGTGCTCAGAGGTGTTCGGGCTGCGGTCCACCGCCGCCCGTGCAGATGTAATGGATGGACGGGATTAAAAGCAGATGCATGTGAGTGCTTCTCCATTGCTTGTGGCGCTGCGCAAGACACAAAAGGTGGCTGCTGCATTCAGGGTCGGAAACACACATCATTTAGAGCTGGAAAAAACACCGTTCAAAAGGTGAGCTGGCACAACCAGGGCCACAAGAAACAGATCGTGCGGAACTATTCAAACGGAGGTGGCTAGGTGGGGGCGCAGATAAGAGCATTTATAAAGCTGTCTCTCAATATTTACGTTGTCCCCAGGAGGGAGAACATGATCTTGGACAAGGAGTAGAGAAGGAATAAATAGTATCAATTGAAAAGAAATACTTTGCAGAGGTTTCTATAAAACTAATACAGGCTAAATCTCTAGCTGGTGTGTCGTTCCACTGTGCACCGGCCAAGCAACTGCCTCGATATTCTTTAATAAATATTTTTTAAAAGTTTGACATTCATTGCTATCATATTTAGCAGCAGCTACCACAGGTCTCTGAGGTTTTTCTACTGACAGTTTCCAGCGTAAATGTAGCTGTTGACATACAAACGATTCAGTATCATGATTATTGATTACACTGGAGGCTGGTGGTATCTCAAGGTAGTTAGTCAAAGTCAACAGAGTGAATTGTGTTAAATATGAGTATTACTTATGCACTAATACTATTAATACAAATACACATTATCAATCAGTGACAGAGCCTTTAAACAATGTCATGCCTAATTTGTGTGCTCTTAATTGTGATTAAAAGTGCAAATTAGAGTATTATGACACAACTGGCTGGTATTACTCATTAGGATTTGGTTCAAAATACTGGCATTAGCTCTTTTCCCTCTTAATTATCTAGTAATCTTTTTTGCCTCTTTGCACTTCAAATAATTCCTTCTCAGACTATGACCAACCTGTCCTGCTCCAGTCATTTCTGACAGAGCATTTCATCGGTCTGACGCTGCAAGCAGACACGTGGTCAGGGACCGTGTTAGGACTCCCCTTCAAAGTTTCCACACAATGCATGTTGCTTGAGCATCAGAAGCAACTGACCACCTATTGACAAGTATATATGGATGGCCTTTGATAATAAAGCTTGAAAAAGGCCCTGGAAAACTAACCTGTCAATTTATTCATCACTAGCACTTGCCAGACTTAACGGCGGTTTGGTAAGAAACTGGTTCCTGAACCAGAAAAAAACCTCAGCGTCACTAATTCTGCCACCAGTACAAACAGGACTTTGGGAACGCAGTTAAATAAGGCCAAAACCTCATGTACATTAAATATTACTACCTGCTGAAACTTATTTGGCATGGAATAAATACTCAGGGCTGACTACAATAGAAGATGCAACAATACCACACAGTGGGACAGCAGTAAAGACATGGCAGGATGAGCTTTAGCTTGTGCTCGCAACGGGAGCCTGCCTCAAGGCTGCAGTCGCTGGCACGTGGGCACAAAAAAGCACCATTCAGTGCAACACACACACGCTGCAACACAACATGGCATTGCTTATGCGCTATAAAGCCCTTTTTGAATTTTTCTCTGACCCCATTTGCAGCTAATCTGTGTCTAGGATGTCTGCAAGGTCCCTGGAGAGGTTGCACTCTGGTTGGTGGCCCAGGCCAGGAAATAGATGAGGCAAAACCATGCCTTAACTCATGATCACTGCTACTGGCAAGCGTGCTGGTCAAGTTAACGCAGGAGCGCTCCCATATGCTGCAGCTGTGAGCCCCAGAGAGATATACACCTCTGCATACATCACATTCAGAACGATCCTCCCTGAAAGTTCCAGAAAGATCTTGAAAACTTGTGGGGCAGTTCTGCTACGGAGCTCCTAAACTAATTAGAAAAAAAATCTATTTCGCCTTAGGGAAAAAGGTAGGTTTCATCAGACAAACAGCTTGCTAAAGGTGGAGAGAGTTAAAACACTAGTATTTTTAAAATGGTCGTCCCGAAGCAAACCAGATAATTATGCATAAGAAAATATGTGTTGAAAATGTGGGAGTTAATGAAACAGAACTCTGATATGTAGCCTCACAAACACTTGCAAATTATTTTCTTTTTTACAATTAGTTTTCAGATTACCTAGAAATGAAAGCAGTAAGGACAACACATGACAGTGAGAGAGATGCAGAAAAGACTTCCTTTTCTGCTTAGGACTGCAGTGAACCTGGAGCTGTACAAATGCCCCCATCTTCAGCTAGAGCAGCTAGCCCGTGCAGGGCAAAAAGCTGATGTGCTACCTGAGAAAAGCCCAGGGACGAGACAGCGCAGCTCTATGGGCATCATTGACACCAGCCGAAATTTTAGCTCCAGTGCTCTACTAATCTGAGCTAAAGAAAAACTCTAGAGCAGATGTCAAACCACTTCAAAGATGCCCAAGCTATACAGTACAGATCCAAACCTACACCCTGGGCGCTGGTTTTTCAGCATTCAATATAAGTCTGCATGCAAGTCTGTCTCTCCTTTCACTTAAAGACTCAGCTATATGAAGTGGCATAAATTCATCAACTTCACTGGAATTTGCATCTCTGGACTGTATCATCTTTCCGGAGGCTGGCCTAATTTTTTCCAGCTTCTAGAACTGTCCATTCGTACCATAATTATTTTCTGCACTTTTGCTTGGGTCCTTGCTTTATGTACGGTGTATGTATGGCTCTTCACCCTCTGTAAATTATACGTTCGTGTAACCTTCAGAGCGTGAATATTCTTATTTATTTCCGGAGGTTACAAATCCAGGGTGAGGAACAGGAAAGACTGGGAATCCCGCGGCATGTACGAGGCCGACTTACTCCAGTCACCTTTGCCAAGGTCGGAGTTCAGTACCCTGAATTCAGGGTAACTAGTGGGGTAAGTTTGTTATTACGCAGCACATGATTTGTTATTATGGGGGATAAAATCTTTTTCATCTTCTTTTTTGACTGTGTCTAACATTAGACATCGTAGTGTCTCCATCATAGGTGTTAACTTGCGAATTGTGCACTGCTGAAACAGTACCAACGCTGAAATGACATATACTGTATCTCAGAATACAGAGATTTTTCAGAACAATTTCTCTTCCTATTTTCCTAGGCCTAACAAATAAAACAATTGTTCTTGTTCACGGAGGATAAAATATTTTTCCTTCAGATTCTCTTTCACCCAGGGGAAATCTCCTTTTCCACCCAGCTAAGAGGGTAATCTATTTTCTTTATCCTTCCACCCCAGTCCAGAAGCTGTGTCAACACGGTTAACTGGATACCTCATAAAGCTGACAGAAGGGGTGTCTCCGACGGAGCACTCAGGAATATGGTGTCAGCGGAAGTGACCCGTACCACTGTGCTGACATTAGAGCATCCCTGGGAACGGCTATCACGATGCCGACAGATGTGTCTAGTGCTGATACAAAGCAATCCATGAAATGACCTCTTACAACCACTCCAGGAAAAAACTAAAGCACAGACACAGAAAGCGGTGAAATTCTGCAGGTCTCTCATGCAAGACACAACAATTTTCTTTAGCTGTTTGTGGGACCATATCCGCTGTGCAATTATGCTGAGCAACACAGAGACTATGATTTAGATCAAAGTATAATGACCAATTACACTGTAAGTATTCTGCAGGTAAAGCATTTTATGAGCTAGGATAGTGTATGGAAGCGCTTTTGAGTGTAATTAATCTTAATTAATTCCCTCATATTTAGTATTAGTCTATCTGCATATTAAAAAAACCTATCTGACACACCTCCATCATACTGCCTGAATGTCTCCTAGTGATTTAAAATGAAAAATGACTACACCAATTATTGCATGTTTAGCTGCAGTAATGATTCTTAAATTAGCAATTTCCCAAGACATGCGAATGTAGAGATTGGTTTCTCATGGTTCTGCGTGGTTCAGTCCGCACATAAATTTGCATGGATATAATAAGAAGTGCGAAGTTGCACCTCTTTAAATAACTGACTGTGACTTTTTGTCCAAAAAGGACATCAGCTTAATGCCACTTTGCATTGGTTTGGCCAATTTAGCAAGCCATGCTGAAGTAAAGCAGAAATAAAGACACGCACACGCAATTGCTCTGGCATAGCTGAGACTTGAACTGCTAGTTAAACCCACGCACCTTCTTTGTGCAATCAATCAGTCTCTTAGGTCTTTTGCTGACACTGGGAGCCAGTCCCTGATGTTAATCTGCGCTCTAACTTTGAACAAAGACCAGGCACCCTGGTCTTCTCGAAGCTACATGTCTCTTGACAAGGTGAGACTTACTGGATCGAGCAATTCTGATACAGTTTTGCTTCGAGCTTGTGAACTTAGACCCAAAACTCAAGCACGTTTTTTCTCCCAGCATCTTACGCTTACATGGTAGGAAGCCCGTTCTTCTCGGTCCATGGGACGGGTCACATACATTCTGCCAGACACGGGGTCAATGCTGAACACTTCCATCGGCGGCTGGTCGGCCCCCACGCCGGTGATGCTGTATCTGATATGGATCTCTTTATCCTTATCGGAACGAATCTGAATGAAAGAGCAAAGGCAGCAATCGGCAAGTTATGGATAAAAGCCATATGGGTATTTAAACAACTTTAAATATCTGAGCCTGTAACACGCATAAATGCAACGCTGCTGTCAATTTTGACAGGGGAGCTGTATAGCAAAAGTTTGGGAAAACGTCAGCAAAGGAGCGTTCCACATATCTTCAGCTATTTTTATCCTCTTTTGTTCATGATGGTTGTCTAGGAATTTTTGAAATTCTGACTTTTTTGCCTCAGGTGTGGAAGCATGTGCTTTCACAAAAGACGCTGTTTACTTCTTGAAAATCCTGGCCCTGTAAAATGTCCAAATCGGTCAGATATATCTCACAGCCATTAATCACTTTCAAAAGGGCTGTCTCCAGTTTCCCACGTCATCCTCTCAGTGCCTTTCACTGTGCACACGGATACCCCCATGACGTTCTAAGAACAGGGCTGCTCCTTCCCTCTCTATCCCGCTTGCCAGCTTGCCGGAGCAAGGCTGGAAATGCCCAGTGGGATGCCACCGCTCCATTTGACTATTTGTTGCAGAAAAGCGTGTTTGGCACATTGCTTTTGAAACTCCTTCCCTCCCCTACCTTGAGAAACACCCAACAAATCAAATACAGCATGACGAATTACATGAACCTTGGATACAGAGACGAGAAAATAAAAAAGGGAGGTTAACATCTTGTCCTAGCAACCCTGACTACCTCTTTAAACCTAAATTTAATTTTTTGATCAAATACTGAAAGAAGTTCTTGCAATACCATGACCGTTCCTGAAAGAAGGCCCAAGGGACAAATAAATTACCACCCCCCCCACCCTCACAAGCTGTCTTGGCAATGTAAAAGTGACACGCATATATTTTTCCCTAACAGGTCTCCTACTCCTTCCACACGTGACCTACCGGGATTTTGCCCTCTCCTGATTCGGGAGGCTGACAAGACGCTGAACGCGCGGTGCCAGGGAACAGCAGATCCCTGACGAACATCTCCCTTGATGCCTTTGTCCAGACCATTACCGAGTCTGTACGCCGCCTGCTTCTCTACGGCCTCCATCTAACAGTCTGTTCCCGTTAACGGCTAATAAAGTCAGTTATTACTAGAAGCTACTGGGATTGATGCTCGCTGCACCTACGCTTTGGGAGCTGGAGGTCAGGGAACGGAGACAGTTTAATCTGTCTTTCCTCTCCAGGATTCACTGCTTGTTTAGGCTATTAACACCAAGAAAAACTGATTAGACTTAGACTAGTATAATCACTTAAAAAAGGTACTGAGGACATTTTCAAAGTGCCCTCAACCTGCACACAACAGCACACTCAGGTCTTTGTGCGTGCAGTAGGTATTTGTAACAGGGAACCGATTAGACAGGCATGAATGCCATTGGCGCTGGCAAAGAATACTGAAAAAAACCCCCTAAATTTAAGCTCTGCTTCCACGCTTGTGGGTTTAATGACAGCAACCAACTCACCAGGTCAAAGACTGAAGTCCATAGTCCTCATTTTTAGTAAGGCAGCTTTCACCCTGCCCAGTAGACAGGGCTGGAAGCTGAATTTATGTGAATGTCTGCGCAAACATATAGCTCAAGTCAGAGAGTTCAAGCTCCAACCCACTGCTGCTGACAGCTGGAAGGACGCGTTCCTGGCCAGGCTCAAGGCAAGTGAACGTGCAGGGGGTCACTATGAGGCCTTCACCCTTGAGTTAGCGTGGGGTTACCACCTTAGAAAGCACAAAAAAAGGGCAACTTTGGGCACCCGGTTGTGTGTCTGTCCATATCCCTCGGCATCCGTACAGCTCCAAAGGATCGACAGGGTGTCAGGGTAAAACCAGCCTTTAACCCTTAACAAAGTTCCTCCTTAACAAAGCTGGAAGAAAAAAAGCTGGGGCCGGGTACAATTTCTGATAGTCTGCAACAATTTCAACAATCTGACTATACATACTATTTCATTTATAAAATCGCTAGAGTGTTAAACGTGCAACGAGGCAGCCGTGGGCTGATGAGGTTCCCTGCCGCGTCGACCCATCTTGCATTAGAAGACAAAGGCAGCGTCAGACAGGAGACAGGAACAAGGTCCTGGCCCCTGGAAAGGAAAGAGCCATTTTTGACGGCGGGGGCAGTCGTGGAGCAGGACATTACCTGCAGGGAAACGAGGTGGGAAAAACAGTTCCTGCAGGTCACAGGAGGGAAAGGTCGATACGAGAGGAGGGTGTCTCCAGACTGGCTCAGCTATGGCTAGGACCTGAGCACAAGCCTTAAATAACAAACCGGCCACCCTCCACGGAACTAAAACGGAAGCAATTTTAACTTGAATCATGGACAGGGAAAGTCCGTTAGTTCTTTATGGATGTTTTTATGCTCTATTTTCTGTTGCATATAGTACTCGGATCTCGTCGCGATAGAAGCATTAGAAATGCATAGAGCGAGAGAAACAGGGAAAAGGAGGCAGGATTTAAATATTCAGTGCTGAAGGCATTATAATTTCAGGAAATACAGATAAATAGAAGCTCTCTAAGAAAAGCTATGTACAGTTTAATAAAGTGTATGCCATGGGTTGTCCTTGCAGCGCTTTTATTAGCATTAATAGGGTCTAAGCTGTCTGTATGTAAATCATTGCAGATCTAGGAGATGAAATATATCTGTAAGATCCACATGACTTACCCAATTATACTACGAAAATCCATGAGATAATTATACTGCACTGAGCAAAACAAAGATACAGGGAAAATATGTTGCAAATATTCAGTGATGACTCATTATTTGTTGTTAATTGCCGACGCACTACAGCGCTTTGCTAGTTACCAGTACTTAATTCCATTTCCAGTAAGAAAATAGGAACATTAAGCGTTTGGAGAAAGCACAGAAGGAGAAGTGGCATTTGTCACGGAAAGTTGCAAAGACCGTTGACAATGAAGCATAGTACGCATTACTACTAGGGAGATATTCATCGCACAAAGGCACATGCATTTTATATTGGAACGTGTAATTTTAGCACTCTTAATGAGATTTTATAAAAAGAATTTTTTTTACAGTAATCCTGTAACATTTTGACCAAAGGTTTCATTTGCATAATTCCCAGGGTGCAATTTAGTAAATCTTATTGAGAAGTTAAGAACATTATCTGAATACAATGTAAGGTTTACTTCTTTTGTTGAAGCTGTTACTGGAGCAGTTTACCATAATAATAATAATAATAATAAAAGTTCTTTTCCCAAGGAACTCACTAGATCAGGAGAAAAAATTACTGTTTGGGGGAATTTACTAGCTCAGGAGAGAGTTGCTTTTTCATTCATTTATGGCTGGGAAGTGCGAAGGGAGTAACATATCCGTGTTATAATATTTTAACTGGAGAACATACACATGCATTTTATTCATTTATCTTTCATTTTATAATGCAGTCAACAGTTATGCTAGGTTCTGGGTTACAGAACAGATGGCAGAAAGATAGTTTCCCTTAGCTGTATTTATACATTTTCCCCTCAGAGGAGCCTTGGAGCTTTGGGCTTCTCCAGCGCCAGGCACCGTCCAGCAGTGCCTACCATGACGTGGACAGAATGAGCGATGATGGTCGGTGACCGTCATGGCAGGAGTTTGCTGGTAAAGCAGCTTTTCCTCTCTTAAAAAACCCCTCTGGGATGGAGCTTAGATTGGACTGCTATGTTGGGGAGGAAAATGGTCCAGAGAGCTAGAAAGGTAATTTATGTTGGAAGATGTGATCCCCTAACACTACTGTGAGTAGCTCCTGGACACAGGTGAAATTTTCCATGCAAGAATCCTGGGATGCAGAAAAGCCTCCCCTGCGCTGACAGATATAAATTGACCATCTGGGACTGGAGGTACCAGCCACCACCAACGGCACCAAGGAGCAGCGCAGCAGAGCCATGCTGCCCGGCTCCCTCTTGGCTGCAGCAAGCCAAGGGCACCTTGACCTCGCAGCTGCCCTGCACAGCGGGGAGCTGCAAGGCAGGCTGAACTCGAATCGCTGATGAACCGTCCAAGAAAGAGCACAAACCTTGCAGCCAAGGCTTGCAACTCAGAACCAGAAATTTCGCCCAGAGTCTGATTCAGCTCTTGTTTCTACAGAGTAACCCCAGGAACAGAAGAAATCACTGTGATTTCACAGATGGGAATTTTCCACTGAAGGTTCTGGTACAACAACTAAAAAGTATGAAAATGAATGTTGCAAATTTTGAGATAATACTCACAGAGCCAAGCCCTTCTGGCTTTGTGCTTTGTAGTAATGTTACTTAGTTGAGTTTCTTTTCCTATGACCTATTCCCAGACGCTGGGGAACCGGCAACATGCAAACTAACCTATCTCTTACATGGTTTCCACACCTACAAATGTGGAACTGAAGCTCTCTTCGAGGGTTAGGTATCTGTGAGTAAGTGGTGCAGTGTAAGTTCATGCAGATTAGTAAAACGAAATCCGGTGTCAGCATTTTTGTTGCAATGTAGCAAGAACTAATCTGCAAGCTAGATAAACTGCTAAAATAAATCCCAGGATATACTGCAGAATCATTTCCATGTAAGAGCAGGGACCTAGGACACGGGTGGCCGTTTCTCTTAATTCTCAGTTAGTGGGAATTAACTCTTGGTCTCCTGAGTATATATCCATCAAACAGTCAAGCTCAGTTCAGGAGTATCTTGGTGACATGTGATGCCTTCTGGTATACACAGGAGTTCATGTTACATAATCTATTACATATGACCCTTTCAAAATCACAGGCAGGTTTCAGTGAGTTGTACACAGCCCAGGCTCTGCCCGTCACTGCATGATGGTATATGTAACTAGTTGGGAAAGTATCGAGAGAAAATAAAGCAGGCAATGTATACTCTGCTGTATTTTCCAGCCAGAGAGCACGCTAAAAAAATATTTCTCCTTCTAAGTTCTCCAACTTGTTCTATAATGATACGGTTTTAAGAATGTCCTTGAAAAAAATACTTCAATTCCCAAATTTCCCATAAAATATTTTGCAACGTTTGCACTAACATGACCTGAGGAACT